TCATGTTTTGTGTCTGTTTTTGATCATTTTGTCCCTTTTTTGTGGTCCTTTCCTCAAAGTTTTCTTTCATTTTGTTAGTAATTATTAGAGTTTTGTGTTATTTCTGATCATTTTCTGGTCCTCAGCTGTACTTTTTTCAGCAGTTTTGTGTCTTTTCTCAACACTTCTGCGGCCTCAGCTGGACTTTGTGTCTCTGGGTGTCAGACTTGTTGTGGACTAACGGTTTTACTGGAGCCTTTAGACTAACTGGAGCATTTAGTAGGACTTGTTTCTGTTCTCTGAACTCTGTGAGGCTTCAGAGGAAACTCCATCATTTGACATCAGTGTTTACTGAGTCTGCAGCTCTGATAGGATCCCGATGACATCATTCAGTCTGAGGAGCTTTATCCTGATGGGGGGGGCAGAAAAAGGGGGCTGTGGAGGTCCAGTTCACATAGCCAAAACACACGTGCACATCTTTAATCCTGAGTCTGAAGTAAAGCTTTTTTCAGATTTGAACTGGGTCCAAAGTTTGGGACTGTAGTTTTAGCTCACGTGGTGTTTCTATTCTTATGCTATTACATTTCCAATACTTTGAAAAGCTATAAAATGTGTAATTTTTCTTGTTAATAAGGAAGAAACTGTTTCTTTCCGGTTGCAGGTGAGCAGATTCCAGATTTTATGGAATAACATGATGATAATTTGCCCCGTTTAGTGTTAATTAAACCCAAATAAGTCTGACTCAGAGTCCTACAGGAGGGAGAAAAGGGGGAAAGCGTCCACTTTCTGCCAACGGGAGCTAAGAGCTCAGAGTCCCTTCCCTCTGGAGGTGACGGCTGTTTAGTTCTGCTGTGGGAAACTGAGCCAGAGATGGGAGTCCTGATGGGCTTTGATGGTTCACTGAGTTCACTGAACTCTGCTCCACATTCAGCCCACGACACAAAACCAGACGAGGACTAGAGCTTTTCCAGGCGAGACGAGCCCATTATTCCCTGTTTTAAAAGCTCCGTTTCACTCTGTTTTAACAGAAATGACTGAAAAACATCCATTTTGAGGCTGAAGCTGAACCTTTTTTGTGGCTCTTGCTGCTTTTTGGGGGATAACGATCCCAAAACCGGGCGGCTCAGACGGTAAATAACCGGCTATCTGTGTTCTGACCGTAGACCTGCAGAGGAGCCGCTCGTTTCCGGTGCGGCTCTGCAGTCTGCTCGGGTTTCTGCTCCTTTATTCACCAGATCGCCTCGGTCTGATGTCCTCTCTCTGGCTGACTCATCAGCAGGATCTGGTTCCTCCTGTTGAACACGTTTAAAGTCCCTGAATTCAGCAGAGAAACGGAGGTCGGGGGGGGGGGATATTTTGGGCTGAGGTTTGAGATTTTTCTGTATTTTTAATCATCTTTTGGTCAAAAGATTAAAGACCAATTGCTGTACAAATATTCTGATGGTTTATCTTTTATATTCCAGCAGTTTTAGTTGCTTTAAATGTTGAAAGTTTAACAAAATGTGAAACTCAAAGCACTAACTATCAGGATAAATGCAGCTCTCCTCATTGCTTCTCATCTCAAATAGACTTAGTTGGTTTGAATTTGCTGAATTATTTTTTTTAAACTAAATTATGGATGATTTATGTGTGATTTAAATTGGAAATATGTCTTTTATTGCTACTTTAGAGGGCAAACAAATAATCAGATTGGATTCAAATAACTGTTGATGGTAAAAATCCACTCCACATTTCTGTTTAGTCTGTCTCAAAGCTGTTAAATGAATCAGGATGCTTCTATTCGCGGTGTTTATTTGGCTGTTTTTTACACTTATTGTTACGCTTTGAGTATGTGAGGAGGCCTTTGTGTTGTTAGAGGAGATGACTGGGATGAGAATCACATTTTCTGGGTTCGTTTGATTGATTTAATTGATTTGAATCCGGGTTACTGTGCTGCAGAGTCTAAAAGTTTAGCCAAACATTTGTCATTTTTCTTTTAGAGGGATGCGCAAACCTCCCCTGGAGGCTGATTCCTCTGGAGAAGTCCTTTTCTCCCTCTCTGCAGCCAGACCTGTTCATTAAACCCTTTTTCAGCCGGGTGACGTATTGATCGAGCGTTACGGATGATTTATTAGGTGCTGATGTTTTACAAGCCCGAACACAAATGAGGTGGCTGAGGCCGTTTTTCCTCCGTTACTCAGCACTTTACCGGTCCGTCCCATAGCCTGAGTCTCTTTAAGAAGAAAGTCCAGCTTCGAGGCTTCTCTCTGAATAGATCAGCTATGAGTACTTTGACCTTAAAAGCTATCAGACTATCTGGATCTAACCTCAGCCCGATCCGGCCCCTCTGCTCCAGTTAAAACTCTCCCTCTGCACAAGCTGCCATTGATTTACTGACCTTTTGGCAGACCTTTGAGGATTGCATTGCAGTAGCTGAAGTTTGCCCGGGAAAAATAAATAAATAAATAAAAAGCTTATCTGTATTAGGCTTGTCCCGATACGTATCGGCCGGAAGGAGAAAATGCAGATCCAGACTCCAGATCCAGTTTTTATTTAAAAGTCTGATCCCACACGAGCATTAGCATTAGCATCTTCTAACCCACAGGTCTGTGTCCTAACCATTAAGTTGTTATCAGAGTAAATCCCTGTTCAACATGAGTCTGATAACTAAGTAAGTAGATAAATAACTTTAAACTTTAACACATGCTCTGATAGGCTGGGATCGGATCGGAAGTGCAAAAAGCTGGATCGGGACGTCCCTAATCTGTAGAAATGGAGACCTGAATCTGCTGCATGGATCCTTCAGATCTGCTGAGGGAAGCAGGCACAAAAAAGGCTAAATATCAGCATGGATAGACCCTAACCCACGGTGCTCCCTAACCCCAATGCCTGAGCCGCCATCTTGGATCAGGGGGAAACTCTCTGGCAGCAAAACCAGGAGAGATGTTGCAAATCCGATCACTGCAGTCGATTTCTGAGACAGTTCTGCTTCTCTTTCTGCCACACATCCAATATGGCGGCTTTCAAAATGGCGGCCATGTTCGGGGTCCAGCCCGACTGAGAGGCCGTTATCCGCTGGGCAGTTCACACACACCATTTTCCTTTTTGTGTCTGAAATCAAAGGGTGTCCTGCAACTTCAGACTCAGGGAAAGGTGAACAAAGTAAGAACATAACACAAAAAGATCTAAAAAAAACAGACCAAGAAAAAAAGTGTTTTCTTTGCTTTTTATCTGCTCTGTTGTCGAGCTGCTACGTTGTTAGCTGCTAACTGCTAACGCTGTTAACTGCTAACGTTGTTAGCTGCTAACATTGCTAATGCTGTTAACTGCTAAAGTTTCTAACTGTTAACACTGTCAACATTGCTAGCTGCTAACACTGCTAATGTTAACACTGTTAACTGCTAACTCTACTAACGTTGCTAGCTGCTAATGCTACTAACGTTGCTAGCTGCTAATGCTGTCAACTGCTAATGCTGCTAGCTGTTAATGCTGCTAGTTTCTTATGCTGCTAACTGTTAATGCTGGTAACGCTGCTAACTGCTAATGCTGTTAACGTTGCTAGCTGCTAATGCTGTTAGCTGCTAACACTGCTAATGCTGCTAACTGCTAACGCTGTTAATGCTGTTAACTGCTAATGCTGCTAACACTGCTAGCTGCTAACGCTGTGATGCTGGCTGCACAGACACATAAAGGAGCTCCAATCTGAATTGAAAATGAGTTGGTCTCTCTGGGCGTATCGA